AAGTTCAAGAAATCTACAGTATATCTGGCCAGGCGTGGTGGCTCATGCCTGTAATCCTAGCACTCTGGGAGGCCGAGGCGGGCGGATTGTTTGAGCTCAGGAGTTCGAGACCAGCCTGAGCAAGAGCGAGACCCCGTCTCTACTAAAAATAGAAAGAAATTAATTGGACAACTAAAAGTATATAGAAAAAATTAGCCGGGCATGGTGGCGCATGCCAGTAGTCCCAGCTACTCAGGAGGCTGAGGCAGAAGGATTGCTTGAGCCCCGGAGTTTAAGGTTGGTGTGAGCAAGGCTGACGCCACGGCACTCTAGCCCGGGTGAGAGAGTGAGACTCTGTCTCAAAAAAAAAAAAAGAAATCTACAGTATATCATGATGACTACAGTTAATAATAATGTATTTTATATTTGCAAATTGCTAAGAGAGTAGATTCTCACCACAACAAAATGATATGAGGTAAAGCATATGTTAATTAGTTTGGTTTAGCCATTTCACAAAGTATACATATATCAAAACATCAAATTGTATACAATTATACATATAATGGTATATATACTTATTATTTGTCAATTAAAAAATATATAAATAAATATAATAAAGGAAAAATAAGAGGAGGAGGATTATATATAAATAAATGATTATAAGCAACTTAACTTGAATCAAAATCTGTGCTTCTATACTATGTTCATGGGTTTCCATATTATAAAGATGTCAATTCTCCCCAACCTATCTACAGATTCAATGCAACCCCATTTAAAATCCCAGTAGGCTTTTTTGTAGAAATCAACAAGCTGATTCTAAAATTTTATGGATAAGCAAAGGAACTAAAATAAGCTAAACAACTTTGAAGAAGAACAAGTTTCTTCTTCTTTGTTCTTTGAAGAAGAATGAAGTTAGAGGACTTTCATTACCTGATTGTAAGCCTTACTATAAAAGTACAGTAATCAAGACAGTGTGGTATTAGCAAAATGACAGACAAAGAAACCAATGAAACAGAAGACAGAGTCCAGAAATAGACTCACACATATATGGTCAATTGATTTTCAACAAAGGTGCCAAGGCAATTCAATAGGAAAAAGAAAGTCTTCATCAAATGGTGCTGGAACAATTCAACATCCCTATACAAAAAAAGTGGGCCTCAAACCCACACTTTGCATCACATAAAAAAATTAACTCGTAATTAACTAAGTGTAAAATCTAAAACTGTAAAACTAACAGAAGAATACATGAGAAAAAAAACTTTGTGACCCTGAGTTAGGCAAAAGATTCTTAGATAAGATACAGAAAGTACAAATCATGAAACAATAAAATTGATAAACTGGACTTTATCAAAATTTAAAACGTCTGCTATTCAATATTTTGTTTAAAAAAAACGAAAATACAAGCCAAAGACTGGGAGAAAATATTTGCAAAATACATACCTGATAAAAACTGGTATCCAAAATAAAGAACTCTCACAACTCAATAAGAAAACTAACAACTCAATTATGGCCGGGCACAGGGGCTCACACCTGTAATCCTAGCACTCTGGGAGGCCGAGGCGGGCGGATTGTTTGAGCTCAGGAGTTCGAGACCAGCCTGAGCAAGACTGAGACCCCGTCTCTACTAAAAATAGAAAGAAATTAATTGGACAACTAAAAATATACAGAAAAAATTAGTCGGGCATGGTGGCTCATGCCTATAGTCCCAGCTACTCGGGAGGCTGAGGCAGGAGGATCGCTTGAGCCCAGGAGTTTGAGGTTGCTGTGAGCTAGGCTGATGCCACAGCACTCTACTCAGGGCAGTAGAGTGAGACTCTATCTCAAATAAAAAAAAAAAAAACTAGACAAAAGATTTAAGCACACATTTTATCAAAAAAGATATAATAACGGCAAATAAGCACATAAAAAGTTGTTCAATATCATTAGTCATTGGGAAAATGCAAATTAAAACCACAATGAGATACCACTACCCATGGATTACAATGAGCAAAATTTTTTAAACTGAAATACTACTACTTCACACCCATTAGGATGGCTACTATCCAAAAAACCCAAAAAACAAAAAACAGAAAATAAGTGTTGGCAAGGATATGGAGAAAATGGAACCCTTGTGTTCTATTGGTGAGAATGTAAAATAATGCAGTTACTATAAAAAATAGTACGGCAGTTCCTCAAAAAATTAAAAACAGAATCACCATATGATCCAGCAATCCCACTTCTGAGTATATACCCAAAAGAATTGAAAGCAGAGCCTCTAAGAGATGTTGGCACACCCACGTCCACAGCAGCATCATACACAATAGCCAAAGGCGGGAGCAACCCAAGTGTCCATCAGTGGATGGATGGATGAACACAATGTGGTACACACTTGCAATGGAGTATATTATTCACCCTTTAAAAGGGGGGAAATCTGGTCACATGCTATAATACGGATGAACCTTGAGGACACTATGCTAAGTGAAACAAGCCAGTCACAAAAAGACAAAGAGTATATGGTTTCATTTGTATGAGGCACTTGGGATAGTCAAATTCATAGAAACAGAAAGAAGGACAGTGGTCCCCAGAGGCTAGGGGGATGGGGACATAGGGAATTCTTGTTCAATGAGTATAGAGTTCCAGTTTTGTAAGATGAAAAAATTCTGGAGATCTGTTATATAACAATATGAATGTACTTAATACCACTGAACTGTACACTTAAAAATGGTTAAGATGGTAAATTTTATGTTATGTGATTTTTACCACAGTTAAAAAAAAAAAAAACTCTGAAATACCAAGTGCTAGGAAAGATACAGGGTCCCGGAAGTCTCATCCATTGCTGGTGGGAATATGAAACAGTACAGCCACTTTGGAAAATAGCTTGGCAATTTCTTATAAAGTTAAAGTTAAATATACACTTACCATATGATCCAGCAATTCCACTACTAGGTATTTACACAAAACCTGCATGGGAATGCGTATAGCATCTTTATTCATAATTGCCAAAAGGTGGAAACAATCCAAATACCCATACGTTGACGAATGGATAAACAAACTATATACATCCCTACAATGGAGGGCTACTCAGCAATAAAAAAAAAAATGAATTACCAATCAATGCAATGTAGTGGGTTAAATTACATCCCCCCAAAAGAATGTTCAACTCCTAACCCCTAGAACCTGTGAACGTGACCTTATTTGGAAATAGAATCTTTGCAGATGTAATCAAGATAAATGCAATGGCTGGTGTCTTTATAAGAGAAGGAAGAGGGAGATTTGGACAAAAAGGCATTCAGAGAAGAAGCTGGTGTGAAGACGGAGGCAGAGAGAATGATGGAGCTACCAGCTGAGGATTGCTGGCAGCCAAAAAAACTAGGCAGATGCAAGAAAGGATCTTCCCCAGCGCATTCAGAGAGAGCACGGTGTTGCTGGCACCTTGATTTTGAACTTCTGGACTCAGAACTGTGAAAAAATTAATTTCTATTGTTTTTAAGCCACCAAGTTTGTGGAAATTTGTTACAGCAGCCCTAGAAACTAATACGTGCAACCACTCAGATGAATCTCAAACGCAACGTGCTGAGTGAAAGAACTCAAAAGACTACATACGTGTGATCCCACTCATGGGACACTCTGGAAAAGGCCCAACTACAGGTCAGTGGTCTCCAGAGGACAGAATGGGGTGCAGACTGATTACAAAGGGACACGAGGGGCCGGGTGCGGTGGCTCACACCTGTAATCCTAGCACTCTGGAAGGCCGAGGCGGATCGATTGCTCAAGGTCAGGAGTTCGAGACTAGCCTGAGCAAGAGCGAGACCCCGTCTCTACTAAAAATAGAAAGAAATTATTTGGACAATTAAAAATATATAGAAAAAATTAGCCGGGCATGGTGGCGCATGCCTGTAGTCCCAGCTACTCGGGAGGCTGAGGCAGTAGGATTGCTCAAGCCCAGGAGTTTGAGGTTGCTGATGCCAAGGCACTCTACTCCAGGCAACAGAGTGAGACTGTCTCAAAAAATAAAAAAAAAAGAAAAACAAAGAGACACAAGGGACCTTTCCAGGGTAATGGAACTGCTCTATATCTTGATTGTGACGATGATTATATGGCATAGAGTTGCATACCTAAAAAGGTAAAGTGTACTATCTGTAAACTATATGTTGAAAAAGTTTACTTAAAAAAAATATCTGTGCTCTGGGATTCTTTTTTCTCAGTTTGTCAATAATTTTTCTCAGTTTAGAAGAGGGCTCCTACCAGCCTAATCAGGGATAATGTGAATATCAAAACATTGAATAAAATAGGGAATAATAAAACCATATACAGAGAAACAAATAAATAAATGTATAGATTGAAAGTTTAATGAGGATCAGGATAAAGTACTCCTCATAAAATATTTATTCATGACAAAGGGGAAAAAAGTAACTTTAGAGTGGAGAAGGCTGACAGACGCCACCTTAACTGATAAAAGATCACATCATCATTAATAGGACAAATCAAAATCACATGCCCAGTGTGGCACGATAACTGCATCGCTTCTGTGTTATTCCTGCCAAAGATGCATAATCTGAATCTAATGACAAAGACACTTCAGACAAACCCCAGCTGGGGGGTTATTTCTACAAAATAACTGGCCTGTAATCTTCAAAAGTGACAAGGTAACAAAAATCAAAAATATTTTTTTAAAGTCAAAAATAAAAGACTAGGCTGGGCACGATGGCTCACGCCTGTAATCCTAGGACTTTGGAAGACCGAGATGGGAGGATCACTTGAGGCCAAGAGTTCGAGACCAGCCTGAGCAACACAGCAAGACCTCATCTCTAAAAAAAAAATTTAACAAATAGCTGGGCATGATGGTGTGAGCCTGTAGTCCCAGTTCCTCGGGAGGCTGAGGCAGGAGGATCACTTGAGCCCAGGAGTCTGAGGTTGCAGGGAGCTACGATGATGCCACTGCACTCTACCTGGGGCAACAGAGCAAGACTCTATCTCAAAAAAAAAAAGAAAAGAAAAGGAAAGAAAAGAAAAGAAGAAAGAAAGTACATATCTGGAGGTACCTGAAACTCCGATGCACTGCTCCGCAGCTGGCTCACATTTGGTAAGGACCCTCCATGGTACTGTGTCAGGCGCAGTTGCTGAAGCTTCTGAAATTGAACCTGGAAACAAAGCATTTCAAGAATGTTGAGAGATGACAGCAAAGATCTAAAAAAGCATCAAAGTGTGGTATTTTGTAGTATAATGGTTCAAGAATGAAAGTCTTGGTTTCGATTTCTTCTTTACTTAAATGATCACAACCTTCAGGTTTCCTGTGCCTTCTGGTTTTTGGTTACTGTATTTTTGGAAAGAACTTACCCATGTTCCAAACGTCCCACGTGCTATGACAGTAAGGCACCCGTGCAAGGTCTTTGAGTCTTTGGTCTCAGGTGTGCAGGCACAGTCTTTAACAACAATAGAGGAATTTCTTACAGCAAAACTAAGCTACTACCCACGACCTAACACATTAACTCTTTTCTTTGCGTTCTTTTCCATTCTCCATTTGCATGTATGTGTAAGAACTGAATAGCTGTGATCATAAATACAATCTTGGATGCTTACATCATAAGCCTTTTCTATGATATTACATAATCATTATTAATGCCTACATAACAGTTCTTCTGAATTATTTCCCTAGAACATATTCCAAAGAGTGATTATTAAATCTCTGGATATGAGTCTTTCAGTGGTTCTCCATACATACTGACAAAATGCTTTCCCAAAGGGTTCACCAGTAGATGTATGAGAAAATTGTTTCACCAAAAACTCATTAACATTGGATATTATCATTAATTTCAGCAAGGAAGAAGGCCAGTTCAACAGGTATAAAGTGTTACCCCACTTTTTTAGTATGCCTTTCTTCTCTAAGTTCTTCCTTACTTCATTTTTCAAAAGGCAGTAAACTGGTTACAGTTCTTGTAAACCTCAAAGTGGTCCAATCTGGCCTGTAAGAATTCTATTTCTAAAATAATAAATTAGCTCTGTGGTTACACAACCCTTGGCACTTATAATTCACATAGGGAAGAAAGGGATTATAGTTGAGAGGCCCAAAGCAGATTTTAACCCTTTAATTAGTCCAATAATAATAAAATTAACCAGACTGAGCTCCTAGGACAAGCCAGATGCTATCATCAGATGCTTTGCCCACTTCGTCCCTAACTTTCCCCACAAACATGCAGGGAAGATTGAATTATCCTGCTTTTACAGACCTGGAGACCCAGAATCAGGTAAGTTGGTGACTGGCCCAAGGTCCCCCAGCTAGCAGGAGGTCGAGCCACAGCTGTCGAACACAAAGCCCATGTTCCTATTTCTGTCATGCTCTTTTCCTTGGTTCCATTTCTCCCTCAGTGATCATACTATTTACAAACTCGAAAAAAAGGTAAAAGTTTGGTGACCAAAAGCATTGTTGAGCCCACGAAGCTCTCTGATTTTATTTTTACATATATTATGAAAACTTTCAAATAGTATATACAAAATAGAGACAAATACAATGAAACCCTATCTACCCATCTTCTGAGCTTCAACAACTTCCAACTTCAGTCCAATTCTTTACCCCTCCACTACCCACAGCGCCCCAGTGGAAGAAATCCCAGATATCACATCACTCTGTGTTTCAACATGTACCTCCAAAAGACGAGGGCCTGTAACTGTTTAGAAATTTGAAAGGCACACAAAACCCTTCAGTGGCCTTAACTTCCCTCACACACACAGTATTTGATTTCTCAAACATACTGCACAGGGAGACGGTTATAATCTATTAATCAAAGCCCAGATCTCAGTGTCAAATATGAGAAGGAGGACATGGTGAACTTTTTCCATCTATGACCTGAGTTACAAGAATAAAGCCTCCCAGCTTTTGATCTCGACATTCTAAAAGCACTTCACAGAAGCATTTGACTCTATCCTTGAAAACTCTCTAGACAAAATTCCCAGCTATCTTGATCTAAAGCCTTTAATTTCTTCTTCAAAGGATCAACCTGTCATTTATTTACTTACGCAAAAACTTAACTGTGTGTCAGGTACTCTGCCAGGCACTGGCTTAATAAAATGAATCCATGCAAAGTCCCTGCCTTCAGAAAGCTCTCATAAAGGATTCAACTCTTACCCATAAGCCTTGACACTTCAACAAAACTAAGTTCTAAATCCAGCCAGGGACTTCCCTTCAACTGAGCTGAAGGCCCTCACAGTCCTCCAAACTGCTCTCCCTCCCAAAGCACCTATTTCCAGAGCCTGGACTGTTGCGCTGCAGGAAAAAGAGTACTGGACTTGGAATCTGGAGACCTGACTTTGTAACCTGGAGCTCCCATGCCATCGGGCAAATTATTCTGATGCCTCCTTCACAAAGATGATGTGAGGATTACGAGGGAACGGACGTGACAGTGGTATACAAAATGCAAAGCTCTGGACAACTTCTCAAGATATTATCATTATTGTTGATGTTCTCAGCTACCTCTTAAAACCTTGAGGAAACATTCTGATGTTTTCCTCTTTTAAAATTTAGAATCATTGAGTTAGAAAGGACCTTAAGACTGTCTTCAACATCTTCATGTTTACAGATGATGCAAATGAGGACCGAAGAATGATTAGCCTAAGGCAGAGGTCACAGACTGGCAGTCCATGGGCCACATTTAGCCTAGAGAGAGTTCTGTTTGATCTACAAGATGATGACCCATTCAATATTTTAAATTCTGATTTAAAAAATTAGGAGACTACATAAAAATCTGGATTTCTGACTCCTCTTGATTGAAAGATCAGACAACACCGAATCCATGGTCTTGCCTGGAAAGCTGGATGGAGCCGAGAAGCTGCCCCCCTAGACAGGGCTGGAGTCCTCCTGTTTGCCCAAGTCCTCACCGTGCCACGTTCCTCCACTGTGGCCCAGGATCAGCTACCATTTGTCATCTCATTCCGGGCCCTCCCCTCATTTTCCTTTCCCGCCTCACCCATTAACTTGAGTCAGCAACCTTTGGCCCGTAGTCACATACTTCAGTGGAATTTTCTTTAATGCCTATATGAAATGAGATCTAAGCCTCACTAATTCCTTTTTGAAAGTCTCAACAATAGTCAACACAATTACAATCAAAATCCCCGCAGGTCTTTTTATAGAGATTGAAATAATTCTAAAAGCTTTGGATGTACAAATGACCTACAGTAGTCAGAGCAATTTTTAAAAAGAGCAAAGTTGGAGGACTTAAGTTGCCTGGTTTCGAGACCGACCATGAAGCTACAGTCATACAGAGAGTGTGCCACGGTCAAAAAGAGAGACGTACAGATCAGTGGGACCGAAATGCATCTAAAAATAAACTCCCACATTTATGGCCAACTGATTTTTGACAAAATTGTCATAGCAATTCAATGGGGAAAGAAAAGTCTTTTCAACAAACAATACAAACACAATTGGATGAGTATATAGACATTCAGTGTGACAGCCAGATTCAAACTCCAGTTCTGCCACTTACCGGCCATGCCACCACACCTCTCTAAGCCTCAGTTTGCTCATCACAAAATGAGGAAAAGTCTACACACACACAACACAGGGTCACCTTGAGGACTACTTGAAATAATGCATGTAAAGGAATCACAAAGTGCCTTGCACAGGGAGAGTCCTCAACACTTGGGCCAAACTCACTCTTTCTAATCTCTCTCTCTACTCCTCTCTCAGACACCTCGCCATTCTACAACATATCTACGGTTTGTTTATTTTAATATAAAAATAATGGGTTTTCCAAAATATTCAAGCCAAATTAACACTCCAGGTTGATATGCTGAGTTAATCCTGTCACTTCTCAACACAAGTTGCCCTCACAGTCAAACTTCTTCAACGAGTTTCCAGCTCTGTCTCCACTTCCTCCCACCCACTGCTCAACGCCTCTCAGCCCACGTTCCACCCAGCACCCTATGAATGCAGTGTCTCTCACCAAGGTTACTGATGACCTTCACATGATCACACCAAAGGACACATCCTCTGTGACAGAACAAGTCAGCGGCACCAGGCTCGGCTGGTTGACATTCCCTCTTCACAATAACCCTCTCGGCTTTTCTCCTGCCTCTCTGGGTGCTCTTCAGTCTTCCCTGCTGCCTCCTTCTTCTCCACCTCCCCTTTAAACGGTGTAGCTCCTTGTCTTCTCCTAGGCCCTCTTCACATTTCACTTTATGGCAGGCGTCACAAACTCAAATGCCTGCGGTTGCGGAGTAGGGAACGTGAATGAAGCAGTCTGGAATTGCTGTGAGGAATACGATAGGGAGTGGTGGGGACTGTGGCAAACTGAAGCGCACACACATGCCCTATCTAACAGGGCAGCCACTATTCGACTGCAGGCAATTGCTGCCATGCAGAAATGTGGGGTAAGTGTTGCCAGATGATCTCATTTTTCAAAAGAAGCCAGAGTCCAGATTTTAATGTAAAATCTCAATATTCGTTGTTAGCCCTATTTTTCTTTTTTTTTTTTTTTTTTGAGATGAAGTCTTGCTCTGTCACCCTGGGTAGAATACAGTGGTGTCATTGCAGCTCACTGCAACCTCAAACTCCTGAGCTCAAGCTATCTTCTTGCCTCAGCCTCCCAAGTAGCTGGGACTACAGGCGTGCGCCACCACACCCTGCTAAGTTTCCTATGTTTAGTAGAGACGGGGTCTTGCTCTTGCTCAGGCTGGTCTCAAACTCCTGACCTCAAGCGATCCTCCCACCTCGGCCTCCCAGAGTGCTAGGATTGCAGGCATGAGCCACCGTGCCCAGCCAGCCCTAATTTAAAAAAAAAAAACATTTTGGGCCAAAACCAAAAACATGTCAGAGGGCCAGATATAGAATGTAGGCCCCAGTTTACAGTATCTGTTCTATAAATCTTCCCAGGCATCTGAATCTACTTCTGTGGCTACACAGCAAAGAACCCCAGATTTACACCACTCGCCCAGCCTTTCCTCCTTTCCTCTAGGACCATATAAGCAACTGCCTGCTGGACCATCCCTCCTTACAGGCCTCAAAGGCACCTCAGACAACATTTCCTCACCTTCCTCATCCATTCCCAAATCTGGTCCTTTCTACCTCTTAAGTATCAATCCGGTCACTCCTCTGTCTCCCCATTACTACCACCTTAGTAAATGCCACCACCACATCTCCTAGACCAAAATTACAGCCTCGGAACGGTTCCTCTGCCTCCTCCTCTATTCTAGCCACCATTCTGGAGCTAAAGGAATCTTCTTAAAATGCAAATCTCCCCTGGTTCGATCCCTTCAATGACTTTCCATTGTTCTTGGAATCAAGCCCCAAATCCTGTCTCTACAACCTGATCCCTGTGAATGTTTCCGGCCTCATCTCAAATCACCCTCATCATCTCCTTGCCGAACCTCTGCTCTCTGTGCCCGAAGCATATTTCCTCCCTCAACACCCTCAAAGGCCTTCGCCACTCCCACTGATCCCTTAGGCCTGTGGTCCCCAATCCCCGGGCCATGGCCCACTGCCAGTCCATGGCCTGTTAGGAAAACAGGCAGCGAATTACCGCCTGAGCTCCGCACCACCCCCCATCAGTCCACGGAAAAACTGTCTTCCATGAAACTGTTCCCTCGTGCCAAAAAGGTTGGGGACTGCTGCTTCAGGCCACTGGAAGAGGTGGGAACTCCCTACTATACCAGAGCTCCATCTACTTCCCCTTTTGTAACATTCATCAAAATACGTCCTTACTTGTTCAATGAATGTCCTCCCATTAAATCCTAAAATCTACCAGGAGACTGTGTTTTGCTTAGTTACTACTATATCCCCAGTGTCCATACTAACCCGTGGCACATACTATGAACTCCATAAGTATTTGTGGAACAAATTAATAAGATTTTTGAAGGAAAGAACCATGTTTCCACCATTCCCCCCAACAAACAGGACCCTATTAACCATATAGCAGGCACTCAAGTACTGACAAATGAATATATTAATGAATGAGCAACAGAACAGCCTCTTCCCAGGCCTACCTGCTTCCACTTTCTTTCCTCTCTTTACTACTCCAAGCACTGCCTTCTCCAAATTTTCCCTCTGCTTCCTGATAAGGCTGAACCTCTAAAGCCAGAGTGAAAAATTCTCCATTATCTAGTTGATGCTACTTGCTAGGTGAATAGGATTTAACTTCCACTCTGAAAGACTGGCTGTGACTACGCAGAGAAGGGCTTGAAGCCCAGCACAGGCTCAGAGGGGAAAGGACTCGATCGATTAGCCATGTCTGTCTCACCGATTAGCGATGTCTGTCATGGGCTGGTAATGGAAAGTCAGTAGAACCGCCACCCACTTACCAACTATGAACTAGACGGATTTTTCTCCAACTGGGATCTTTGGATCCTTGGAGGTTCACATATGTTTGGGGAATCTAAGAGTTCTGTGTGACATGTGTTTCAGTGTTGTGATTTCTTTATGAAAATAACCCTGAAATTTTTTAAATAAGCCAATTTTAGTAGGCAAATTTAATGTCATCATTTATGTGTTTATGAACACAGTGGAGCCAAGTAGTATTACTTCACTTGAAACTGGCCAAAAAGAAAACAGAGAGAATTAACATGTAAATGAGTCCCTGTATTAGGTGCAGGGCACGGTAACACGATCATTTTGTAGCAATTTGAATAAAGTGGTGACTGAATTATCATACGGTTGATTAGGTTTGCTAAATTCAAGAGAATTGAGCTATAGCAGTTAGCACCATATTTACACTGAAAAAGCCTCAATTCACTCCACTCCCACTGCTCCACTTGACCAGCTTTAAAAAAAATAAAAATAAAAATAAAAGATTAAAAAAAAATCAAAAGCCTCAATTCAGTTTAGCAAAATAGCATTTGTCACATTATATTAATGTTAATTTGGATTTACTGCATTTGTAAGTTTGGTTGGATTTATTTTGTACATGTGTTTTGGTTTATGGTTGTATCACAGCTATAAGCAAAGGACTTTGTATACAAATTTGTGTTTGGACATATTTGAATAATATAATCAAACTAATTTAAGTGAACACTGAGGATCTGTGAAAAAATTTTTCCTTTCAAAAGTCCGTACAGTAAAAAAATGGCAAAAAAAAAAAACTGTACATTACTCATGACTTCATCTGTTAAGGATGTTTTAAGGGGGATTCCTAAGTTGGGTGAGAGATTGGATCAATTCTAGGTACACAGACATATACAGCGCATGTATTTGGACATAAACAACGTACAGTATGTATCTAAACAACACATAACAGCACAGGCCCCAACATTAATCACCAGCTTTCACCGCCCATTCTTTTCAGCGTGCTCTGAGCTTGTCGAGCTCATCCCTGCATCTAACCAAGGTCACGAATGTAAATGCCGGGGGATGCCAGGCAAGCAATAAATGAGTGAAGCGGTTAGGGCAGAAGAAAACATTTTCACAAAATTCTCAGCCTTCCTTATCCATATACATATTTTTTTCTCTCAGTGTGATAGAAATGTAAATACAGGAAATATTTCACTTTCCCCTTTAACTTCACTAAAAGAAAACACCATCCTAAATATGATAAACGACAACTGACACCTAGCCTTGGCACGGGGGCCGTGACAGAGCGCGGTGCGGACTGTGGCAAACTCGAGTTCAAGCTCCGTTTGAGGGGCAGCCCCCACCCAGCTCCACATGGTGGCTGTCGTACGGGAATTCAGGTTTTGTTACCGGGTCTCCCAATTTTTAATATGAATAAGAAAATTTAGATTTTGTGTGAAAATCTCCCAATTAAAAATTTCTGGCAACGGATTTAAGAATTTTCCCCCAAAACTGCGGCTGATCAAAAAAATAACGCGTCTGCAACTCAGTGAGCCGGGGACCACCAGTTGGCAAGTCTGCTCTTCTCCCCTCCGAGCTGCGACGCCCCCGCCCCCAGCCGCTGCACATCCCCCCCCATCCTCCCGATGGTCCTTCGAGGTCAGCATTCAGGATCCTCAAGGCCTCCCCGCTCACGCGGACCCCCCTTCTCTGCAGCCCTGTGCGACACTCCGCTTGGCTCTCCATCCTCCACTGCCTCACTCAACAGTTACCTCACCCTGCCAGGCGTTTGTCCCGGGTCGCACCTTACTCGTTCCTCGGGGTCCCTCCTCAGTGGGCACCTTGTCAGTTCTCACTACGTATCCGGGGCTGAACGAGGTAAGTTGGACCCGATAAAACACCTCCAAGGAGTAAAAGGGGGGAGCCTCATCCTCGACGCGGAATCGTATCGTAGCACCAAGACCCCAAGCCAGCCCCGGGCCGGCCCTGGATTCATTTGTGCACAGAGCGCTCCTGAGGAGCGCGTGGGACCCTCGGGCCCCCGCGGCCTTCCACGCCGACGGTCCAGAAGGGCTCGCTGGCGGCGGGTGTTCGGAGCAAGGAGAAGCCGCACTGCCCGGGCCGACGCGCGGCTGGGGCTGGCCTCCAAGCTGTTTGCGATTTCCTCCCGGGGCTCCGGTCATCCCTCCCCGTAGGCCGCCCTCACAAGGCCGCCCGCCTCCCCAGGCTCAGCCCCTTCCCACCTCCGGGCACACTGGGCCCCGCGACCCTCCCACCTCCACCGCGGTCGCGAATGGCAAGAGCGTGGTCGCAAGGCGGGGAAGCGCCGAGGCCGCGGCCGCTCCGGCCCCGCTCCCGGGCACCGGTTCCCGGGCGCGGCCTCGGCCCCGCGACCTCTCACCCGCCGCGCGGGGCCCGCCCGCTGCCGTGGCCGCCCCCGCCCGCGCCCGCGCCCGCGCCGGCCCGGGCCCTCACCCGCGACAGGGTGAGGTCGGTCATGAGCTGCTCGAAGGCCCGCGTCTCCTCGGCCTGCCGCTGCGTGTGCAGCGCGATCTTCTCACTGAACTTCCGCGGGTTGGCGCTGCCGGAGCCCGGCGAGGCGGCCATGGCGCGGGCTCGAGCTCGCAGAAGCGGCAGGCGGCAGGCGCGGGGCCCGCGTCTCGGCCCACCCGTCCGTCCGCAGGCCGCCCGGCCGCCGCCCGAAGCCCGTC